TTCTGCTTTTGTATTATGGGCAAGATAGGGCCACATCCAATGTCAAGCAGGGTGTGACTGGGAACCAACACTGCAGGCTGTCCCCAGTCTTTAGAATTTAGTCCTGAGGGGCCAATCAGGGTTAGCTGAGGCAGTGACATCACCGACCTGAGTAAAACCCCTGGACTTGGCGAAATTCGCTCTTTTCCGCCATGCTGCCAGCATGAGTGGGATAGCCCATGCTAGCATGGAGATGGCTCTTTTGTTTATTGCATCGGACTCGGCTCCCTGGTGGTCCTTGGGGATCATGACTGGAATCCCCAGCCAGGACCATGAGGGACCCCACTCCAGAGAGCCTGACTGGCTGCGGTAGGTGTGTGTTTGTCTGTGTTTTTGTGTGAGCGCTCTGGAGGGACTGCCCCTCCATCGGGGCTCTTACCTGGGTGTTTACCGGCTGCTGCGTCAGCCATGGTTTGAGTCCAGATTCGAATCTGTAATAAATTCTAGCATGCTTAATCAAATTGGCTCCGGTGGTCCATCTCTTGGGGACTCGCTTCGTAACAGGTTTGACGGTTTGAAAATTAAACATTTAAACTACAAACAGGTTAGAGTGGGTAGTCATGTCCTAGATATTTTCCCCCACAAAGATCAACTTAGATCTTATTTTCTAAGCCCATTTGCCTTTTTGCCTCTAAGATAACATATCTGTGAGATGTCTGGGTAACTTGTAACTTACTTTTTTTTTCTTTTTTCTTTTTTTCTGGAGCCACTGGAACACAACCAAATGTGGTGGGCACCAGGACAGATGCCTCAAATTCCTTCTTTATCATGTTAATTGTTCCTGCACTCACCTAAGTACACGTCCATCATTTTACTTTTTATCCAATCACAGGGGTTTCCCACCGCTTTGCTTTCTCCCACCTCCTTAATCTGTCACCAATGAATTTCATGTAACCCACCTATGTCCCTCCTTTGATTTCAGTGTATAAATAGAAATGTAACCCGCCATTCTTCGGAGCATCATCTCAACTCATTGAGGTTCTGCTTCCCGGCATGTCGACAATTTGGCTCAAATAAACTCACACAAATTCTTTACAGGTTTCAAGGTTTTTTGTTTTTTTTTTCATTAACAAGGTGAACCCTGCTCACCTAGCGGTCTGCTTCTGAGGGGCGCTGCCCTGTCTCCCTCCTCCCTCCTCCCTTCCCTGCTCCCTCCTCTGCCCTCCCCCCTCCCCGTCCTCCTCCCTCTCCGTCCCCCCCAAACCCAGGTTCCTGAAGCCAGCCCTATAACAGCTTCCAAAACAAACATCCTGGGTCTGTTTGGGGCAGAAGGAAGAACAGGTGGCGCTGTGCTATCAAAACCCTGGAAGCACCAGGGTTGGTGAGGACACCAGGAAGTCCTGGCTCGGGCTCCAGGCCCTGCCCCCGCAGTCCTCCTGCCTCCGCAGTCCTCCTGCCTCCTCAGTCCTCCCTGCCTCCTCAGTCCTCCCTGACCCCCGCAGTCCTCCCTGCCCTGCAGTCCTCCCGCCTCCTCAGTCCTCCCTGCCTCCTCAGACCTCCCTGACCCCCGCAGTCCTCCCTGCCCTGCAGTCCTCCTGCCTCCTCAGTTCTCCCTGATCCCCGCAGTCCTCCCGCCTCCTCAGTCCTCCCTGCCCCAACAGTCCTCCCGCCTCCTCAGTCCTCCCTGCCCCAACAGTCCTCCCACCTCCTCAGTCCTACCTGCCCCCCGCAGTCCTCCCGCCACAGCCCTGCTTCCAGTCTCACATCCCACCGGTGCACCACCTCCTCTCACAGCACTCCATAACAGAAGCCATTGCGGCATGCTGGGAATGGCTTTTCTAAATGGTTCAAACTCTCCTGGCCAGCATGGCTCAGTGGTCGAGCATTGACCTATGCACCAGGAGGTCACAATTCAATTGCCAGTCAGGGCACATGCCTGAGTTATGGGCTCAATTCACCAATGTGGGGTGCACAGGAGGCAGCCGATCCATGATTCTAATCATTGATGTTTCTCTCTCTCTCTCCCTCTCCCTTCCTCTCTGAAATCAATAAAAAATATATATTAAAAAAATAATGACATAAAATGCTTCAAACTCCTCCAGCACATTTGTTTGTTTGTTTTAATTTATTAATTGACCAGATTATAAAAATAACTATTGTAGATATCTTTGTTCATTCTTCTAATCAGCCTATTGATCTGGTCTTCCCTGTCCTAGCATGTGCACCTTTACACAGTGGGTGGTCTTTCTCTCCACCCAGCTCCTGGAGAAGATAACAGGAAGGGCCACAGGAAGTGTAGATCTCAGGACTCAGATCTCCCAAGCAGATGATGCCATATTTACCAAGAGACTGAACAATCAATGAGTTATCTGTCAGGGAAATTCTTTTTTGGTTGATTTTGTCATAACCACGCTTGTAGATCAATTCCTTTAGTGACTTCAGGTTTGGGTATCCCCCTCAATGTATGGCTCCACTGTCCGCATGTTCATGGGAGCCTTGTTGAGCTTAACAAGGAGCTGCTGAAGATCTGACGAAGGCGAAGAGGCTGCAGCACCTTCGGACCTCTGGGCTTACACCATTGACACCCTCGGTCCTAGTGGACCAATCTGGGTTTGCCAATCTGGGTTTGGCGGTACGTAGAAGTTGCCAGCCATCCGAATCTCGGTTCTGCTCATCTGCCTGTGTGCCTGTGTCAGTCTCAGCTTTGCATAGACGAGCTTCCTTCTTGCCTTTCGAAGCATCATTTGGGCAAACATTTTTCTCAGGCACTTGATCCTCTGCTCTGTGCTTGCAATTCCTTCGCTTTTCCTTGAGAGTTTCTGGCACCGAAGGAACCTTCTTCTCCTCTCCTGCACCCTCCATGATTCCAGCCAGAAAAGAGCCTCAGACACATTTTAACCAGCTCCCAGGCGATGCACACAAGAAGTTCCTTCCACTCACCGCCCTGGCGGGAGGCTGGCCCAGCTGCAGCATTGTAACCAGAAGCTCCTTCCTTCCCGCAGCTGCACAACAGCCTGCAGAGTGCTCCAGTGCACGTCCCATAAGTGGCCTGCTGGTCGGCAGCCAGGGCATTGCAGATGGGCATTCCGGGAACAAGGCTTTCTCCCCCCCGGGCCGCCAGAGGAAAGGAGGAGAGCGCACAAGTGCTCATTGGAGCCTTCTGGGGGGGGGGGGGGGGCTGCCTTCCACATTATCCCAGCAACTCAGGACGCAGCAGTCAGCAAGGGGAGCGGCTGGCTCCGAGAAGGTTCTTTCTAACTTCTCCTGTCTGGCAGTCTGACCCTGGGACACAGGCTCCTCAGAGTGCATGTGCACATCAGAGCAGGATGCTTTTTACCCTTGAGGACAAGCTGATTGCCTGCCTCACAGTTCACCTGTTTTGTGTGGGATTTTAAATCTTTGTATTGACTTTTAGAGAGGAAGGGCGGGAGAGGAAGAGAGAGCAAATGCCGATCCGCTGCCTCCTGCACACCTCCTACTGGGGATCCAGTCCAGCGAGGACCGGGAACCGAACCTTTCTGTGCCTAGGACCACACACAACCAAGCCACACCGGCCATGGCCACAGCTTATCAAGTTTATTGATAGTGGGAACACACAGAAGCAATAGCCTACTTCTAAGTCCTGTAGTATTTTTATTATCATCCTTTTCCCACACAGAGGATCATCTAAGTGGTAAAGCAATGGCCCCAGTGACTACCACAAGCTTCTCCTCTCTGAGCCGGTGCCAGATGCGGCCGGTCGGGGTTTCCTGTGCGTGAGCAGCCAGCCCAGCAGTTGGGTCCTCGATGCTGTAGAGGCTGTTCATTCAAGGAGCCCCTTTCTCTCCCAGAGGGGCATGACCCAGAGACAGGACCACAACCTGGGTGCGAGGCTGTTCCTGTCACTGTGTCCAAGGTTGTTCTTATCACCTGTGTACACGTCTGCCTGGCAACAGGACTGAACTCTGAGGATGGGAAGCAGTACTGCCTGGAACAACAACTAACTGTCCGTGTGGTCGCTGAGTGAGCAAGGAGGCCGCCAGACAGCGAGGCGTGGTTGAGATGTGCTCTGGGCGGGGATGGGGTTGAGGTTGGGTCTCTCAGGTCTAGCTCCCCACTTTCCAGCCATGTGACATTGCAGTTAACTCATTTGTGTCTCAGCCCATCTGTCAACGGGATTGATAACAGTCTTCCTTCCTAGGGTTGCTAAATTGGTCCATGTGAAACAGAGAAATGCAGGCTCACCACTGGTTAGCACATGTTTTGATGTTATTAGCATGATTGTCACTACTAGGCAACAAGAATACCCTTGAGCACGTTCTTATGAACCAGGAGGTCAAGGTTCAATTTCCCATCAGGGCACATGCCTGGGTTGTGGGCTCGATCTCCAGTGGGGGTGTGTGCAGGAGGCAGCAGATCAATGATTCTCTCTCATCATTGATGTTTTTATCTCTCTCTCCCTCTCCCTTCCTCTGTGAAATAAATTAATAATAATAACAATCCTGTATAATAAAAGCTTAATATGCTAAATGTCTGACCATTTATATGACCATTCGACCAACGCTATGATGTGCACTGACACCAGGGGTCAGACATTCCAACCAGTAGGTTAGTTTGCTGCTGGGATCTAACCGATTGGGACTGGGTTAGATGGACTGGACATGGCCTGGAGCAGGCGTCTTCAAACTACGGCCCGCGGGCCACATGCGGCCCGCAGAGGAGTCTGATCCGGCCCGCCAGGTTTTTTGGGCAGTGAGTGCAGTCGAGGTGTTACAGTAGGAATTAGTAGTTCATATAGTCCGGCCCTCCAGCTCTCTGAGGGACCGTGATCTGGCCCCCACTTTAAAAAGTTTGAGGATCCCTGGCCTGGAGCCTTCCTGCATGCAGTACCTCCCCGGTCCTGATCATACAACACCCTGATTCCTGTGCCCTTTCAAAAGCCTGGACCCCTTGGGGAATGTTGGAGAGTCAGTTTCGGCTCAATCTTCACAGGCCAGGCCAAGGGACACTACAAGTCTGTGCACCAGGCCTCTAGTAGTAATAATAATAACAATAATAATAATAATAGTGTGGGAGAATTCTGACATGGGGCATGGTTCTTTACTACTGGGAGTAAGAAGCCATGCCAAGTGCTCAGCACAGTGACACCTGAGAGGAGCTGGACCATCTCTGAGCAGGCTGTGGCTGATGCTGAGCCAAGTTATGCATTCACAGTGCAGTGAACACATGCCTGGCCAGGGAAAGCCTCTTTGCTAGCAGACTACTGTGTGGAGCCGTTAGTCCACACCTCTTGCCGCTCCCACCCAGCGCCTCCAGTGCCTACGTCCCCGGCAGCCGGCACACTCATTGTCACTGACAGACCGCTGTCCATCTCTTCACCCTGAGCCCATAGCTTGCCTTTGGGTTGCACATTCTAGGCCTCTGGGCATGTGTATAAGGACAGGCAGCACATTATAGTGTCACACGGAGTATTTCACTGCCCTAAAGATCCATTGCATATGACCTCTGTTCATTTTTGGAACAATTATGAGAGAGATCGCTATTCCCATTTTTAAAAGATGAGGGAAGTGGGGCTCAGTGAGGTTGAAGATTACACACTAGCAGATGGGTCACCTGGCCCCGAGCCCAGCATCTGTCTGCTCCCAGCTGCCTCCCCTGAAACATGCTGGGCACGGGTGGAACCCAGAGATGGGCACTGCTCCCCACAGCAGAGCCCAGCTCCGGAGGGTGCCAGCGCCCTGCAGCCTGTGGTGCTGCAGTCCCAGGGACAGCAAGACCCAGCAACAGCGGGTCCTCAGCCTCCCTCCAGACACAGGAGGAAAGACAACCTAAGCAGCAACCTAAGAGACACCTACCAGGAGGGACATGCCTGAGCTTCCAGTAGAAGGCCACGGCCTGGCCTGGCTAGTCCACCCGGCCTCCCAGCAGCCCGAGCGCGGGCTTCCACTGACCATGGGACAAGGTCACATTCCCAGCCACGCCCAGGTTCCTTACCGACACTTCTGTAATGCAGAACGCTGGCACATGGTGTGGAGCACAAACCAGCCACACACTCCACAGGCCTGGGCTCTCCCTTCCAGGGCCTGAGGTCATCCGAGGAAATCCAAGGCGAGCCCCCAGGCCTGGGGGCATGTTTCCTCCTTCCCTCCACCCGGAGTCAGTGCAGGAAGTAGGAAATGCTACTCTGAGCATCTGTGGGAACCCTCAGAACCAACTGTAAGAACTGTAGGTCTGAAATGTTTGTGTTTAAGTGCAGGCGGGTGTGGAGTTCCATCCAGAAAACCTTCAAAATGCCATCTTTCTATTCTGCACTTGCTGGTCCTGAAATAGCTAAGATGTGCTTTCACAGAAGTGTAACTTCAATCCTGTCAGGCTTCTTCACCCATAAATTCCGAATTCCTCCTTCACGTGGAGATTATTTTTGAAGTTTTTTTTTTTTTTTTACAATTCTGATGCTGCCCCCTGGTGGCTACAGGGCTCATGTGCCGAACAAAAAGTTTAGGTCAGGCTGGGAATGTGTTTCCCCAAATGGGGGGCAACAGTGAGTACCCCCCTCCGTGGGCCCTTCCCGGGGCCCAAGGCTGTGGTGAATTGGAGACGCCATGTGCACGACCTGGAAGGAATTCACCCTCAGCTCTTATTTCCAAAGGCAGGCCGAGCGGGTGGGTGAGGAGAGGAGTCTGGAACAGAAAGGAAACATGATGTCAGTGCACCAATGCACAGCAAAATCCTACATTTAAAAATACAGTTTGCCTTGCTATGTAAATAAAGTTTTATTGGAACACAAAAATGAAAATATTTGTAAGCATTTAGAAATGACGGCATCGGAAGACAACTCAATGCAGGGAATGTTCTAGAGGTAGGCCAGTGGTTTCCAGATTCTTCACTCTGGCCTTTCCTGGTTGGCATCTGAGCCTGCCAGGCTAGAAAGTGTACCAGCCATGCAAGCACGCTGGCAGAGTTGGCAATGGGGAACCTGGAACCAGTTCTGTCCCCAAGCATACATCAGGGGGCCTGAAGTAGTGTTTGTCTCACCGCCCATATATGCTCATCCCCGGGTTGACCTTAACCGCATGAGTAGCCTGTAGCTCGGCATCTCTGCCTTGCTCTCTCACCTGCTGTGTCCTGGCAGCCGCCCTTCGCTCAGGTCCACGGGGTGCAGTGTCCTGAAGCGCCAGCGGCTGGCCACCGCAAGTGACCGACGCCCGTGCACAGTGGACCTGCTGCATGTCTGTGCATTTCTCTGCAAGAGACCGGGGAGAACAGAGTCACCACTTCTGTGAGTTTCACTGTTCGTAGAAACTGCCAAATCCCCTCCTGCTCAAATTCACACCCCACCGGAGGAGCTGGGAGTGCTGCCTGCCCACGCCCACGCCCACCGTGGAATCTGGACAAACTGGCGGGAGTCCAGGCAGAGCAGACAGGACGGCGGAGTGAGCCATCCTCTCAGATCTTCCTCTGCAGAACCCAGCAGAGACATTTAAAAAGCTCTCGTGCGAAAGAAGAATCCCAGTTAGGCTTTGTCACCGGGAGTGTGGGTCCCGCACTGCTTCCCCAGGTGCACCCCTGGGCAAGCCGCGCACCTGGTCTGAACTCCGCCGCCCCACCTGGCCCTGAAGAGCTTGGGACCAGAGCTACCTGTGCAATGGCCGAGGGGCCAAATATCCACCGAAAATATCTGTTTTGCTTGGTATCATTTTTGCTAAGGAGCTGACACCATCTCATAAGGCAATTGCAACAATGCAATCATTTTTATTCTTTTTTTTTTTTAGTTTGTTTGGATCCCAATGTTAAGAAAACGAACTAGGAAAAAACTATAATAATAGCCAATTAACTTATAAAAAGACGTTCAATCTCACCAATAAGCTACAAATAGAGTTTGTGTTAATCTATGAGATTGGAAAAGATACAAAAGACCAACAAAAGCTCTTTGCAGCACAAACCCACGCTGCTGGGTGTGGTGAGCAAAAACATTTAGCTGCACCCGGAATGTAAATGCCCAAACTCGTGCACTTTGCTGGATGAGCTACTGTGTCTCTTTTAGAGGACCATTTAAAAAATATTTTTATGGATGCCAGAGAGACATGGAAAGGGAGAGATATAGAAACACCAATGATGAGAGAGAATCACTGATCGGCTTCCTCCTGAACGCCCCCCACAGGGAACCCCCCACACTGGGGATCAAGCTTGCAACCCCTGGCATGCACCCTGACTGGGAACTGAAAGGAACCTCCTGGTTCATGGGTTGATGCTCAACCACTGAGCCACGCTGGCCGGGCTAAGCACCATTTAGGAAGAAAAGCATCAGGCTGAGGGGGGAAGAAGGAAAAGTAACCCGTTTCACAATTCAATGCAAACATTCCCAAAGTGTCAGGTGACAGTGACCCGCAGACAACCAGGGTCTAACTGAAATGGTACCTACTCCATTCAGTGCGCAGGGGCCTCACACATCACCTAACACCATAGAACAAAGTTAAGAAAACGACCAGGTTAGTTACAAACCAGGAGAAAGTCATGGCAGAGCACAGAGCTCCTAAAGGAAGAGAGTATAGGATACAGCAAGACTCCCCAGCACCCCAAACAGCCCGTGTAGAGAAGCAATGTCAAGCGGTGCCCAGTGTAGACAAACAACAGACACTTGTTACAAGAATGAACCCACTACTATTACTGCCCTCATATTTACCCAAACTCTGAATATAACAAATCATGTGGTATTTTTTTAAAGATACTTTAATCCACCTTAGACATGTCCATTAAAAAGGAAGTCTGGCCCTAGCTGGTTTGGCTCAATGGATAGAGCATCAGCCTGCAGACTGAACAGTCTCAGGTTCGATTCTGGCCAAGAGCACATGGCTGGGTTTCGGGCTCAGTCCCTAGCGGGGGGCATACAGGAGGTAGCCAATCAATGATTCTCTCTCATCATTGATGTTTCTCTCTCTCTCTCCCTCTCCCTTCCTCTCTAAAATCAATAGAATATATTGTATTTTTGAAAAGTCTGCCCTGGCCAGGGTGGCTCAGTTGGTTGGGCATTGTCTTGTGCATCAAAAGGTTGCCAGTTCAACTCCTAGTCAGGGCACATGGCCAGGTGGTAGGCTCCATTCCTGGTAGGGGGCGGGTGTGCAGGATGTAGCTGGTTGATGCTCCACTCACACATTGATGTTTCTCTCTCTCTCCTTTCCTCTTTTTCTAAAACTAATACAAATAAATTTTATATTTTTTTTTTAAAGAGGATATCTGATATCCTGGCTGGGTGGCTCAGTTGATTGGATAATCATCCCGTACACCAAAAGGTTGCAGGTTCAATTCCCCAGTCGGTGAGTGTGCAGAAGGCAACCAATCCATGTTTCTTTTTCACACTGATCTCTCTCTCTCTCTCTCTCTCTCTCTCTCTCTCTCTCTCTCTCTCTCAAATCAATGAGAAAAAAACAACAACACATCCTCAAGTGAGGATATTTTAAAAAGGAAATCTGATATAAAAATAAACATTTCCTTCTATCCATTAATCTCATCCTAACTAACTCTCTGAAAATATGGTTAATAATGATTCACACAAAAAACCCGAGTACATACAATTATGCCTTTATTTCATGGTCTTTTAAAAAACACAGACCACTGAGGGTTTTGAAAAGCATTCACGGAATCATCATGTTGCAGCCATAATGTCACAAAATAAAGGGACACAGAATGGCCTGCAGAGCAGAAAAGAATGGCCTGGGCCGCCTGCCGCTGGCCTGGTGAGGCAGGTGCTCACTGGCAGTGACGAGCGGACCCAGGACCACAGGCCTTCTCTGTCAGCATCCCTAACGTCAGTCACAGGACCGGCTCCAGGAGACCCTGAGGATACCCGCAAGGTGATCGCTGCCAGGCTAACCTCTGGCAGCATCCTGAATGAGCTCCATTTTCTCCTTTCCCTCTGGAAGTCAAGTTCAAGGGCCAGCCTCCAGGAGCAGTGAGACCACAGGACACCAAGCACGTGACTTGGTCAACCTGTCCTGGCTACATCTACAACATGAGAAAGATGGAGACGGGTACCATGTTGTATGATGCAGTAGCCACTGGCCACACGCGGCTGTTTAAATTACTTAGAAATTAAATACATTTTACTGAGAAATGCAATGAAATTAAAACTCCTTTCCCCAGTCACACGGAGGGCACGCTGGGAGGCTGACAGGACCTTCCTGTGGGCACAGAGAGCCCATGGACGGCTGGTCATGGGAAGGGATTCTCCTCCCTTCGCACAGCCAGGCCGGTGGCTGCGTCTGGAAGCAGCTCTGAGAAGCAACGTTTCCCGCAGAAGGGCCCAGGTTGGCGATGGAGTCACAGACGGCGGTACGGTAGCTTTCGTACATAGAACACCCTCCCCTATGGTGGAAGGAGGATCCTTGCATGGGAGTGGGCTACACCGCCAGACTCCTCCCAAAATCTGTCGGGAAAACTGGCGCAGAGGTAAGTGAAGCAGATGTGGGAGCGGCCCGGGCAGGGGGTATGGTTGGGGGGCTCTCCACTCCAGGCTCCATGAGAAGGCGATGCCCACATATGCAGGGTCCCCAGGCCCGCCTCCAGAAGCCCTGGCGGGCAGTATGCTGGCTGAGAGATGGCTGCCCTGGCGATGCTGGAGAGCAGGCTGAGTGGGTCTTCTCCGCACACGCTCTGAGCAGAGCCGCAGTGCCGGTGCCGATTGTCAAACATGGTGCTCCTTTACAACTGCATCCATAGCCGGGCACAGACTGCGAGCTGTGCAGCCCTGACCCACCATCATCTTCTTCCTTATCAAGACTCTGGCCAGAGTGGTTCAGTGGGTTGGGCACCATCCTGTGCACCGAAGGATTGCTGGTTCCATCCCCAGTGGGGGGCATGCAGGAGCAGCCAATCAATGTTCTGCTCTCACATTGATGCTTCTCTCTGGCTCCCTCTCCCTCTCCCTAAAAAATCAATTTTAAAAATCTTTAAAAAATAAATAAAAAAGAGGACTCCGATGTTTGCAGAAAGCAGTTGGATGTCCAGCTACAAAAATCTCCATTTCTCAGGCAGCTTTGCAAATGCCACAGACCCATCTGGCTGGGAGATGGAAGGAGAAAGCTTGAAAAGGGGGCCCAGCAAACTGGCGTGTCCGTGGGCGTCCTCTGCCTTCTCCCGGGGACCCAGAAAAAAGCCAGGAGGCTCAGGGGCCACCTTGACCTGGTGTGTGAGCTGAAGTGACACTGCATGGCCTCCCCCACTCCTCTTTTCAGGGGGGCAGACGGAACCCGCTCCGTCCAGGGCCTTCAGGACAGCAATCCGCCGTGACGCCACAAGGAAAGCGAGATCTCTACCTGCAATAAAAGGCGCCTCCCCGAGGAATCTGTGCACAGCAGTCCATGCCAGTGAGTCCAGCCATGCCACCCCACCAGAGCTGGCACAGTGTGTGAACTCGGCCCAAGGCACCCGCCTGCCAGGACAGGCGGAGGAGACCCTCGGTTTATTATGTCAAGCAGCTGCCAGAAGGAAAACGGGCGAAGCTGCAGTTTAGTCCGCAGGAAGCTTTTCCTGTGCCTAATGTGTTCTGGTGACTATCACACAGCTCTGCCCGGCGCTCACCCACACGCCTCTGTGCGAGATGCTCCCACGCAGACTATTCATGAACCACCGTTTAGTGTTTAACTTCTTTCACTTCGTGTGAGCAACGTACAAAATGGAGACCTGAGAATGTATTTCACTGACCCCAACAAACAAACAAAACTCTGCATCTTGACTTTTCCCCTGTGGGAGAAACACACACCTAGCGGTGATTCCGAAGGAGCCAGGTTTTCCCTGCGGGTCTGGCTTCCGTGAGCACCTCAGAGCAGCTGAACGTTAGAATCAGCCCCGCAGCTGCTTCCCACGCACACACAGCACCACAGTGATCTGCACCAGTGGTCGGCAAATTCGTCAGTCCACAGAGCCAAATATCAACAGCAACAACAATTGGAATTTCTTTGGAGAGCCCAATTTTTTAAACTTAAACTTCTTCTAATGCCTCTTCTTCAAAATAGACTCGCCGAGGCCGTGGTATTTTGTGGAGGAGCCGCAATCAAGAGGCCAAAGAGCTGCATGTGGCTTGCGAGCCACAGTTTGCAGACCACAGCTCCACACGACTCTAGCTGGGCAGGCACGAGGCAGAGAAACAAGCCTTTCCCAAGGTCTTAAATGGTTGGAATGTTCACAATGTTGAAAAATTGGCCACTTAAAACATGTAACGGTTGCACATGTGCAGACCAAGTGGGAACACGAAAGCCAGGCTGCAGATTCCCACTCACCTCCTTCCAGGTTCCCACCCATGAGCGAGGCAAGCACAGAGTCCGGCGCTGTGCGCGGCTCCGGCGGATCTTCTCTCTGCCAGGGAGTCACACGGCCGCCGTCAGTCCTGTGCCTACCGTGGTGCCCACACCTGCAGTCCTGGCTGGGACCCATCCACTGGACGGCGGAGGTTTTGCAGGCTTGCAAGCGGTGTCAATGCGAGTGGGCTTCCTTCACGGAGATCAGCAGTTCGCTGCACTAGCACATCTGGTTGTGGATGATACACTCCAAGTCACCCTAATAAGATTTGGAGTCATTTCCAACAGCTGGAATGCAGAATCAGTAATGAAATAAGAACACCTGAAATAAAATAGTAGCATTACATACTGATCGAATTATGGCCCATTTCCTTAAAGTGCAAGAAATTGGACTCAGCTTCTAACATTGCTACAAACCTTTTATGGGAAATAAAAGAGAGGGGTCTTCTATGATTGGTCACATGATATAATGAGCAGCTATTTGAACCATGCGGGACTCTGCCAACGTCTTGGTCCCGAGCCTGTCTGGACACCGTCTGCCTAAAGGTGCAGTGTTCCTGTGGGACACGGAGGACATGGTTCCTCACGTCTGGTGAACGTGCTGTGGCCAGTGCCCAAGCTCACCACCCTGCCTACACTCCTCTGTTCCAGGGCTTGGCTTAGTCTGAGCTGAGGCAAGGGAGTGTGTGTAAGACAATGCCAGGGCGTGGCCTGGGCAGAGCCGCCGAGGGGTGCAGCCTGGAGCTAGACCCTCTGGCGGTCAGCTTTCCAGCGAGAGTGCACACAGGGAGCGAAAGTGTGAGTTCAGAAGTAGTTCTGTTCAGTCTACGTTGGCTTTTGGAAAAACAATGATTGAAAAAATACTAGGAAAAGGTGGTTCATATGCAGGTGTTAGAGTTTCAAATCAAGACAGGAGACCCGGCACCAGCGCTGAGAGCCAAGTGAGCAGCCCAGCCTCTCGGAGCACAGGCCCGGCTCCAGGAGGAGGGCGGTGGGTTAGGGTTATGGTTAGGGTTAGGGTAATGACTGGATTAGATTACAAGGAGGGTATAGAGTGGCACAGGCACAGAGAGAAAGGCAACCAGTCCTTTCGTAGGAAACTGCATCAGTAGCACCAGCCGAGGGACAGGTCTAAACTCTCACTCCACCCTGACCTCTCACCTCCACTCTGACCTCTCACCTCCACCATGACCTCTCACCTCCACCCTGATTTCTCACTTCCATCCTGACCTCTCACCTCCACCCTGATCCTCCATCCTGATTCTCCACCTCTTACCTCCATCCTGATCTCTCACTTTTTTAGGCCCTGGTCTTCCACCCTCCTTCCCGGCCCTGCTTACCATTGGTGGGAAACTGGTGGTTCCCTCCTTTCGTGCAGGTTCCCGGGCACCGGCTGTAACTGAGCTTGGTCCTGGGCACTCCTGCCTAGGGCACCACTTGGCTCTGGAGTGAGACCACAGAAATCAAAGAAAAGGCAACTGTGAGATGAAAGGTTATTCCCTGGAGTCACTCAGGGTGCCCTGGAGGGAAGTCCACTCCTCCCGCCAAACCTCCCAGGGGCTCTGTCCTGCCCTGAGGGACGGCTCGCTGCCTGGTCCTTGCTCCCGGCCCGCAGTGCACAGACAGCACTCTTCCCAGCCTTCTAGGCAACCCCGAGCACTCACTGTGCTCAGCCTCCAGATTCCAAACCCAGTTCTGAAGGGGAGGACAGGAGGGGGATGAAGGAGAGGACAGGATTCCCATAAAAAGCGGCCACTGACTCCTCTCCTGCACCGCAGGCCTTCCCCCATTAGCATCCACCAAGCGCACAGACCAGACTGTAAAGATACTTCAAGCACGCCCTGCTTCCTCCCCGTGCTTCCTCCTGCCTCCCACCCGAAACCACATTCTCGGAATTTGGGTACTTAGATTGACGTTTGATCTTGTTTGGAAGTGTATGGACTCAACTACCTGGTTTAGTTTTCCGCCCCCTGAGTACAAGCTTCATTCCATTGGACCTGGAAGAAGAGCTGGCTCCGAAGGCATCTCTACCCGCCGCACAAAACGGAAAAGCTCCGTCCACACCTTAGTGCACAGCATCCGCCCAGCCCAGCCCCACGCACCCGCCCAACCCTGACCTGCGCCTTCGCCCAGCCCTGACCTGTACCCTGCGCACCAGCCCAGCCCTGTCCCGCGCCCCCGCCCAGCCCCGCGCCCCCGCCCAGCCCTGTCCCGCGCACCCGCCCAGCCCGGCACACCCAGCGGCCTGAGCCTGCGCCTCCCCGGGAGCTGAGACGCCCGCCCCCTCCCTGACCCCTCCCAGCCCCGGCCCTGCGCTGGAACAGACCTGTCCCCGCCACAGGCGCCGGCCTGGACCACGCAGCCGAGCGGAGTCCGGAGCCCCGGGGCCGCTGCCCGCCCGCTCCCGCCGGCCGGCGCGCAGGTCACATTTCCTGCTCGCGGGGGAGGCCCCAGGGTTCCCGCAGCGAGGGCCGCCCGGGCTGCAGCGCCCCGGCAGTGCCGGCCGCGGAGCTCAGCAGCTGCTGGATGAGCAGGAAGAGCAGTAGGAAGAGCAGGAAGAGCAGGAAGAAGAAGAGCGCCAGGTAGATCAGGAAGTTGAGCTCCCACTCCATCCCGCTGGCAGGCGCGGCGCCTTGAGCTCCGGGGGCCGCGAGGGGCGGGAGGAGCGCTCTGGCCCCCCTCTGGTCTCCTCCGGCACCGGTCTCCTCCGGCTCCGGTCTCCTCCGGTCTCCTCCGGCTCTGGTCTCCTCGGGTCCCGCCTGCAAAGAGCCCGGAGCTGGTGCGATGCCTGCCCGGCGCGCCGGCAGCAGAGCCTCTGCCCGCCTCGCCGGGTTAGCTCCCGAGCTCTGGGGACGCGCGGACTCCGGGGAGGAGACAGCGGAGGAGAGGTCCCGCCCGCCCGGTCTCCCAGCGGTGCCGGCTGGTGCGTTGCCATGAACCTTCAGACCCACCCCGGGTCCGCCCTGGCCCTCTCTGGGGCCGCGATGCTGGCAGCTCCCCCCCCCCCCCCGCACTTTCCTAGGCACAACAGCGGCGGTGGAGACAAATTAACACAAAGCGCATTTCCAAAGGCATGTGGTACAGAGCCTCCGATGCTGGCTTAAAATTCTGTATATTTGATGGGAAGCAAAACCAAAACACAACGAACTTAATGCTCCTTCCCGGCCCTGAGCCTCTCTGTCCATGAAGGTGGCCACGGCCACAGGGGCCGCTCAGGAAGAAGCTGTTACCCTGTGCTGTGTGACCCATCACCCCAAACTTGGTGGCTTAAAACATCAACGCTGGTCACCCCGGTTTCTGCGGTAAGAGTTAAGGGGCACTCTGGCGATTCCGGCTTAGGGTGTCCCAAGAAGTGACATATGTCAGCGGGGCCCAGTGGGCTGGAGTCCCAGGGCCTATTCGAAGGACTGGCGAGCAGTGTGGCTGCTGGCGGTTCCCTCCGGAGGGCTCTCCCTCGGCGGCCTGGGCGCTTTCAGCCAGTGCTTCCCGGAAAAGTCGCCCACGCGACCAGGCAAAAGCTGCGAAAATGTCCCTCCCACAATGTCCAGTCGCACAGCCACCTGGTCACTGCGGGAGCCAGGCTGGCTGCTGGCCATCAAAGCCGCTACCACAATAGTCCTTGCCCACTCGGGCCTCCCACCCAACTTCAGCCTCATCTGTGAGGATGCAGGAGGCCCTGGGAGAATTCAGGGAGAAAGGCGGAGTGTTTCAGGGCCCATGGAGGGCAGGGCTCAGGCAAGCAGGGTGGTGGGGAGCAGGGCCCCACTCTCCTCTCAGCCCCCTGCCTGGGGTCCCTCTGCTCTGACTCTCCGTCGCTCCTCTGGTCACACAGCTTGCTCCCCTTCCCTTGGGCTTGTTGTGAGAGTAGACGGTGAGTGGGAGGCTGAATAAGGACATGTTTGCCAGGTAAATGTCAGGTGCTGTTATAATTCTCTAACTGACTGCTGTACAAAGCTTCAGGTCCTGGACCCTTCCCCAAGCACCTTACTGTGCGAGGCTGGCTGGCTTAATCTCTCTCTCTCTCTCTCTCTCTCTCTCTCTCTCTCTCTTTCTCACTGTCTCTCTCTCTTTTGCACACACACACATACATTACTGCAGTGGTGTACTGGTGCTGGCTCATACATTCCCCACCCAAACACTTTGCAAGCCATTGTTAAAATATAGATATTATTACAAATTAAATCATATAAACTTGCAATTAAATTATGCTAACGACAAAAGTAATAATTACTCAAAATTCATGAATTCCTAGTTACTGGAGCCTGTGGCTGAGATGCTGACATGTAATTCATTACTGCACGTCTCTCCCTCCCCTCCTGCCCACGCCACGTTCAGACGCAATATGAGCAGCTTGACATCCGCCACCCTTGGGGTGAATGCCCTGAGGAAATGCACGAATGCTGAAAACCAGTGGGAGCCCCCGGCTGAGGGCTTGCCAGCACGGCACTGCTCAGGCCTGTGGACGCCTGGAGTCCCGCGCAGGGAGCAGAGCTGGCTGACCTCACTGCCTGGAGGCACACTCCTCCCTCAGCTCCGGTTCCTATGGTGGGGTGCCTGCTCCCTTGTATGTAAATCTTGGCCAGAGGACTGTCCCAGGAACTGTTTTCCATGGCCCCTCATCCTGGAAACCAAGGGGCGGTACATCTTTGACCCCCTCCTGACCCAGTGCTGGGAGCAGGACAAGAGGAGCTGCGCCAGGAGCACAGCCACGGTCCTGGGTGCCAGGGCCAGCGACATGGAGGTGGAGGTCAGAGGCCTCTGGTGGCAGAGGCCCTCCCAGAGCCAGACCAGTGCAGAGTGACGCGTGGCCAGGTTGGCGGCCGCCTGCAGGGCATCCTTCGCTCCTGCCCTTTTCTGTTCTGGGCGCTGCTGCTGGTTTCCCAGGGGCTCTCAGCAGCAGGCATGGGGCAGGTGGCAGCCGGCACATAAGCATGCTGACCGAGAGAGCACACTGTCTTGCACACTTCGCACACGGAGAGCGCTTGTCATCAACAAGGTGTTTGGTGAAAAAGACGTGCGCCAGTCGGCACACCGCCATCCGATGTCCAGGCCATGGAAGGGTGCAGGGGAAGTGCAGGCACATTAGGCACACCACTAGCCAGCGGCAGAGATGGGATGTGAGCCAGGGAGCCTGGCTCCGGAGCCTGCACTCTCAACCCCCCACCCACCTCCCAGAGGCGCCTCCAGGGAAGAGCTCCGTTTCTCATGTGTGACCATCAGGTTGATGACCCTATTTTTTCCCACTTGAAAGAACAAACCTTCTGCCTACATTCACCTCAGCTCCTTCCTTTGAAATCTTGCGGGTCGAGGCTCTGGCGGGGCCGTGTTTGCCGGCAGGATGCTGGGGAGAGAGGTGGAGGTGGAGGTGGTGGTGCCAAGCTCAAGCCCACGTCCGCCTCCTGAGGGGCTTAACTGGATTTGTAAATATTAGCTAATAAGCCCTAACCTTCACTCGCAATAGAATTTATATGAAGTAATGATGCTGTCACAAAAATGACTTGTTATATTAGACCCTCTCAATGCTTTTTAGCCTCTGATTGTAATTTAGGCACCTCAATTTTAGTTTATGTTATCATAAATGACTCCACAGATATAAGACACAATCTTTGTCTGCCTAGTTATACACAATAATGGAAATCCACAGAAAAAACCCCAGGCATTTGAAAGAGCAGAAAGAAAGGTCAGTCACTATAGATAGAGCGTGTCTGGTCCCAGCAGGTGCATGGACTGGGAGGGAGGAGGGAGGTGTCCTTACAGCCTTACACTGCCACAGTGGACCCCATGTACACTCCCACGTGACACAGTGAGCCTCTTCGCCATGCACAGTCACACTTCACGCATCTTTCACCCCTCAGTCCCCTCAGGCCTCAGAGACTGGAGTGTTGCTGGCTTGAGCCCAGCCCTGATCCAGGGAGTAGCAGGAGACAACCAATCCATGTGTCTCTCTCACATTGATGTTTCTCTCTCTGCCTCTTCCTCTCCTTCCCACTCTCTCTAAAAATCAGTGGAAAAAATATCCTTGGTTGGGATTAACAATAATCCCACCTAATAAAAGAGTAATATGCAAATTAACCATCACTCTGCTCCACAAGCCACGCTCACAAGCCACGCCCACAAGCCAATCAGAGAAAGTATGCAAATAAACCCAACCAAGATGGCTACATTCACAGAGAGCAGGAGGGAGGCGTTTCCCTGGCAACGGAGGAAGCCAAGCTTTCTTCCTGCCCTAGCAGGCCTAAGCCTCCACTCAATGCTACAAAGTTTCAATTATAGAAGGTAAACAAATCCAAACAGAAATGGCAGCCACTGAGTGAGCAGGAGGCTTGGCTCTGCTCCAGGCTACAAAGTTTCAATTGTAGAAAGTAAATATATCCCAGATACCAGGACCTCCACTTGGGTCGCTGCGGAGCATGGCCAGCCTGCAAACCACCAGAGGCCCATCACCCAGGCCACCCCATGCCCCAAGGGAACTCTCACCCTGATCCAGGGCACTCTTCAGGGCAAACAAGCTGGTCCCCACCCATGCACCAGGCCTCTATTCTATCTAATAAAAGAGTAACATGCAGATTGACCATTACTCCAACATACAAGAAGGCTGCCCCCATGTGGCCAAAGATCCTGTCCCTATGTAGACACAAGATAGCTACCACAAGATGGCCAGCAGGGGAGGGCATTTGGGAGGGACCAGGCCTGCAAGGGAGGGCAGTTGTGGGTGATCAGGCAAGTAGGGGAGGGCAGTTGGGAGGCACCAGGCCTGTAAGGGAGGACAGTTGAAGGCAATCAACCCTGCAGGGAAGGGCAGTTAGGGGTGACCAGACCAGCAGAGGAGGGAAGTTGGGGGCAAATGGGCTGGCAGAGGAGCAGTTAGACATCAATCACGCTGGCATGGGAGTGGTTAGGGGGTGATCAGGCTGGCAGGCAGAAGTGGTTAGGGGCAATCAGGAAAGCAGGCAGTTGGGAGCCAGAAGTCCTGGATTGTGAGAGGGATGCCAACTGCCCATTTAGGCCTGATCCTGGTGGGCCTAAACAGGCAGTCAGACATCCCTCAAGGGATCCCAGATTGGAAAGGGTACAGGTTGGACTGAGGGACTCCCCCCCACCCCAAATGCACAAATTTTATGCACCAGACCTCTAGTAATAATAATAAAATAAAGAGTCTAAAGGCCTAAAGAGACACCAGGAGGGCTGTGCAAATCTCCTTCCCAACCTAGGAGGGCGCTACCTGGATGCACCTGCAGGAGGGCCCTGCAGGATGGAAGGCACGTCCCAAGGTGAGGGCGGGGAAAGAGTGGGAGGCCAAAGGAAAAGGTGAGTTCTATGGCTTTGTTCTGGATTTGTCCTGAAATGAACCCGAAAGAAAAGGAAGAAATAATTTGCACCATGCTCTGGCCTCAGCATGTATGGCTGACCATGATTAGGAAAATGGGGTTCTTCTATACCTGGACCCAAACGGTCAGATGCTGCTGCTTACAGGGACTGTCTTTTACTGTGGCCACACACGTGCCAGGGATGAGTCTGTATGCTTGTTAGGCCCTCACAAGCTCTGTCCTGGCAACCTTAGTGACTCCCCACCCCCCCAGCCATCCTATTCAGTTCCTCTGACACCCATCTCCCTGCTGCTCCCACCTCAAACACAAATATTCCACCATGTTCA